TGATAAAGGAAGTTTAGGACCAGGTAGTCCGGAGGGGTCGTTGGGCTGTTCTTCTGTAGACAAGGCATGAACTGAGCGCCTGCAGGGGCGCGTCGACGACTGAATGTTCAAGCACGAGAGTAATGGTCTCTTAGTAGCCGGTTCCGAAGCTAGTTCCAACGGTGCTGGGACATCGCTGCCAATGTCGAACTTCAAATGTGGTTCCTTGTAACCTGTCGTCAATTGAGCAGCTGATAAAGCTGGTTTCTCCAAAATCGTATTGTACTCCTCCTGAGAACGGGAGCTGGATTCAGAGACATCCATGCATACGTCGCGAAAATGATTTTTTGCATCAACAGACTGCTTTACCCGCTCATCTGTTGTCAACTGCAGCATTCGCCCCACACATAAGCATGTGGCTGGCTTCGTTGTATCCGTAGATGGCGATTGCACAAGGCATAGAACGGGTGCCGGATTCCTCCGTGGTGGCAGCTGCCTGCCAACAATATTAGCAATAATAGTTTTTGCTGAAACTGTAGAGGGAGGAGGCAGGTGAGGGTTGAGACGAGAGATTTCCAGCCGAATCGAAGCATTCAGCGGCATGAAACCACAATTAAACTTTTCGCACAATCCAATGTGATTATTGTCGTAATCCAACTCTTGGAGCTCGTTGTGCAGGGTTTTAAAAGTGCCCTGCAGCTCCTCGATCTCCTTCAGCCATACAATTAGCGTAAAATAATCACGCAGCGATATCTCACTCTCCAAAATAGCCTTCATCCTTTCCAATTGTTTTATTAATGAAGGTACTTTCAGTCTCAGGAAAGTCACCCTGTTTTTAGCTGCGGCTACTGCAATGTCGTTTCCAGCATCGGTTCCCATAGCAAGGGCAGAGTTAGAAACGTTTCTAGCGGGAAGATGACCGAAAAGAGCAACACGCAAAATATACGGGAAAGACTGCCGACAGCTATGCCTATATGCATGGGCTGTCTCTATAAGCTTGTGTGCACCTATGTGGTCGATGACACGGGTTGAGACAGCAGGCAAGTGAAACCAAACGAACGAACGGATCTTGAGGGTAATTTCGATAGTAAATTGTGGTTTGTAATTTGCACTACCGAATTGTTTATTGCACAAATCACGTCGGGGTCACCAAATGTTGAGCTACTGAGCTTCTTCAGTAGCGTTGTATTGCGATATTATTAAAAAGGCGATGATTGTTCAATATATATATTCACAGTTTATTGTGGTGAAGTTAATAAGCGATACAGAGTCGAAAGGATAGTTAGCTGGATTCAAGACGGGGTCAGATTGAAGACGCGGGGGTCGGTTCAAGACGGTGTCGGATTGAATAGCTCGATTCCAAGACGATGCGCAGTGATTGCAAGATCAAGACTGTAAAACGTGAGTGCGATAATGATGACGATCAATTGAAGACTAGAAGAGGGCAGGCGGACCGAATTGCCCGTTCCCTAATGCAAGCGAGAGAGAGCACGAAAGAAGCGATAGAAGCTCGGCTGCTGCTGAGCCGAGCACGAGCGATAGATAGAGAGAGAGAATGCGATAGAACAGTATAGATGCTGCAGCTGCAGTAGCAAATGAAGAAGGAGATATAAAGAGGCGAAAGAACGGCCGCTGCCGTGAGTAATTATAATCGGTTACAATATATATGCAGTGGGCAATGCAAATAGAAAACAAAGGTGAGATTACGTTAATTTGCTCCACTGGCTATTTTGAGGAATTTATTGGGGAATATGAGGCCGGGAAACCAGACAGTAGCTGTACGTCTTCAGTGCAGCTCCACTCCCCCCATTATACAAATATTGGGATGGAATAAGTCCAAGAACAGCTCGAAGTCCAGTGCGATGATTCTGCTGAGGAGCGATGATCATTGTTGAATTGGTGGTGCGCTGAACTGGATGCTTCCTGCCAAAGGTGATTTGATGATAGCCAGCAAAATACAAAGATGATCGATATTGAGGTCCACATGCCAAACGAGGGGGCTCCCTCAAATCATTCAAAAGAATCCCACGCGAAGAAATCTCAGTCAGAACTTTATGCCAAGACAACTTATCTTTGCCCAGCCGTTGGAGAAAGATTCCATGTAGCTGCAGGTCCAGCCAGTCCGAAAACGTCTTAAAGCTGCGCTTCTGTTGGCACAACTGAACTTCTGCAGGGACGCGGCAATGATGAATAGTCCGAAATCGAGAGTGAAGGCTGATCAGTAGCCGTTTCCAAAGCTAGATTTAGTGGTGTGGAAACAGCGGATTCAATTTCCAACTTGCATCGGGAATTCACGTAACCTGCCGGACCCGCATCAAAAGCAGGCACGCTTTTTTTCATTTTGGAATCCAGCTGCGAATGAGATACCAAGTCAGCTATGTGCACGTCTTGGAGATTGATTTCAGCATCAGCAGGCAACGATGCCTCTTCATCTATCGCCAAATGCTGCATTGGCCCCTCAGAGAAGCATAAGGCAGACTTCTTCGTATCCGAAGATGACAATTGCATAGGGCGTAGACACGGGGGTGGATTACTCCGTGGTGGAAAATTAGCAATAATTGTTCCTGCAGAAACCGTAGAAGGAGGAGACAGGTGGGGGAATTGATTAGCGATTTCGCGCCGAATCGAAGTATCCGGCGTCATGAACCGATAACACTACAAGACACGAGTTTTGCTCAAGGAAAAAAACAAACTTTTTCTTAAAGACTTAGGGCTTAGAAATGGTTTAATGATAATTTTTTTTTATATGGCAGAACTTTTTTAATGAATTTTTTAAATCTGTTATTTTTTTAAAGCCTTTTTCAGAGGTAGCGCTTCTTTTTTTTACGTAACTCTAGTATCTTATGTCTGGTTGCTAAGAACTTTGCAATTTTAAAAATATAATTAAAACAGCTACAAGGTAAGCCCAAAGACTTTGTGATTTGAGCCTACCGTCTGGGAAACGGGGGGAGTATATCTGGTTTCCCAGACTGAAATTCCCAAGCAAATTCATCAAAAATAGCGGGGTAACGACAAAAGTCCGCGCGACATATTTCCGCCCATACATTTTCCGCGCGGAGTTATGACGTTATGATGTGTTATGAGTTATGATATGTCGTCATATCTCCGCGCGGACATGTGTCGCGCGGTCTCAAAAACGACATATCTCCGCTAAATTCTGGGCGGACATATGTCGTTTCAAAAACGACACATGTCCGCGCGGAGATATGTGGCTATGCCAAAATAGCTAGTGGAGCAAAATAACGTAATTCCACTTTTGTTTGCTATTTGCATTGCCCACTGCATATAAATATTGTAACCGCTTATTATTACTCACGGCATCGGCCGTTCTTTCGCCTCTTTATATCTCGTATTTCATTTTACTACTGCAGCTGCAGCATCTATGCTGTTCTATGCTGTTCTCTCGCATTCTCTCTCTCTATCTATCGCTCGTGCTCGGCTCAGCAGCAGCCCGAGCTTCTATCGCTTCTTTTGTTCTCTCTCTCTCGCTTGCATTAGGGCACGGGCAATTCGGTCCGCCTGCCCTCTTTTAGTCTTTAATTGATCGTCATCATTATCGCATTCATTTTTCTTTCGTCTTGATCTATCACCCACTTCTCTCGCATATTAAATAGATCCTGCGTCTTCATTTCATCGCTTTGATTTCATCAACCGGCACATCTCGCTTTTTCTTTCGTTACACCTACACACCCCATATTTCGCCTACTTAACAAATAAACTGTACACACATAAACTATATCGAATCCGCTCGACTTCTTATTTTAATCTAAATTCAACAGCTAGTGAAAACGCTCGCTAGCTCAAAATACCCCTTAACTTTTTTTGGTACGGGTATATAAATACATATATTTATATATAAACATACATTTTAGTTCATAAATTTCAAATATTGTTTTAAATAACTTCAAGAAATTAATTTTCAGTTGCTAACCCACCCCCCTTCCAGCACACTCTGCCGACCCTGTGCGACTTCTGTCGAAGGAGATGTAGAATCTGCATTGTAGACGTAGAGGACAGAAACCAAAGTGTCAGTCGAGCTCGGATCTTTATGCCTATCTTGCTCTTCGGGCTCATCCGTCCTATTTGGAACTATTCGGGCCTAGTGGGCCAATTTAGCTTAAGCAAGAAGTTCGCGCGACGTCGAGCCGAACTTGATTATAAGGCAGGAAGTCCGGAAGGCCTAGTACCACGCAACCCGGCCCGGCTAATACGAAGTTTGATTTGGAATTAAAATAAGCTATTTAATATAAAGAGACATATTTATTGAAAATCGGGCAAGGCTGATTTGAAGGGTATAAAATTTGAATTATTTTTCCCCAAACCATCCGTACATATATTACATATATTTACTTTCTACTCTTGTGTAAGCTCCGTTTAACGTGTCTTGAAAAATAATAATACCCAAAAGTATAAATGTGTGCACACATGTATACACATGTATATATTCATACGTACATACCTTCTACTATATAATCCATAAGTGCCGACACGCAATCGTGGTCTTTGAATCGTAAAACTGTCTGTTTTCGAGACTTGATACGCTTCAAAATTAAATTAATTGAATATATTACTTATATAATCAGGCTCATCGCTGTTTTATATTTGCTCTTACGAGCATATAAATGCTTTCTTGGGAAGAAAATATATCATTTTTATTAAAAGCAAACAAATACAAACTGCATCAAACATACGAGGAGTAATAAATTAAAGCAATGAACCGTCTGGTGAGTAATGAGTTAAGGAGTAACCGGTATTATAAAATGTTTATATTCTTAACAAGTTTGAAATAACCTGAACAAATTCATATATTTTAGATTCGTTTTTTTGCTGGATTTTTTCTAGTAATAATATTAGTGATTGGAAAGGCCGTCTATTGTAATTCCAATGCCATGAATAAGTCCAAACATTCGAACATAAAAAGTTCGGCCTTATCTGAATTTAAAGAAACTTTCCTTCGGCCTGCCGTAAAGAAGCTAGAAAAATTCGAAATAGCACATCATCATATAATAGCTGATCAGGCCATGGCTCCTAAACGCGTCGTTCAAAAATATGACAAGCCTTTTGATAATAGAACGACAGATCAAAATAACAAATCAACAAGCGCGCATAAAAAAAAAAAAACACTTTCAAATAATAAAAATGTTCGTACTTTTGAGGAAATACATGAACATATTGATGAAACATTCGACAGCGGTTCCCAGTACCAAGCATCTGAACCATTCGGATCTGAAACTTTACCACACAAAAATCCGGAAAATATAAAAAATAAAAAAAAACGAAACCGTATTAAATCTAAAATAAAACATCACCATCATCATCATCATCATAACCATATTAAAGAGCTTATAAAAACAATACCACAACCATATTCAGTTGAAAAACTTGTGCATGTACCAATTGAAAAAGTAGTAGAAAAAGTTGTGCATGTTCCTAAAATTATAAATGTTACTATAGAAAAAATTGTACACGTACCAATAGAAAAAATAGTTGAAAAAGTGATTCATATCCCAAAACCATATGTTGTTGAAAAAATAGTTGAAAAAATAATTCATGTTCCCAAACCATTTCCTGTTCTTAGAACTGTACCCTATCCAATTGAAATTAAAGTTCCGATTCCAATTGAAAAAAAAGTACCGTTTCCATTCAAGGTTGAGATCGAAAGAAAAGTGCCCATTTATATTCAAACAAAAGAACCATATACATTTGAGAAATCAAGTATTGAACACTATAATCAAGTCGACCAACTCAAATCTAATATTGAAAGGGATTTGGGTACTAACCATCCTCACAATAGGATATATAAATTGAAAGAATTAAACCTTCCTAATAAAATAGAAGACCTTCAATATATTTTTCAAACAGAGAATAATAAACATTTAAGGAAGAGCGGCAGTCATCAATATACGTCTGCAAGCGAAACCGTTCTCCCTAGTAAATCGGATCTTTTAGTGGACATGAACATTGAAGGTGAAGACGACCAGTCGAAATTCAATATAGAAAACGATAATATAGGGTCTAGAGGGCATGAACAATCTGCGCTACCGGCAAAATACCTTCACAATAGGATACATCAATTTAAAGGATTAAACATTCCTTATAACAAAGATGACTTTCAAAATACTTTTCAACCAGAGCATAGAAATTTAGATATAACGAAGAGCGCTTTTCAACAAAATACATCTGCCAGCGATAATATTCCCCTAACATTCTTAAGTAACAATTTGAAGCCAGATACGAAAAACTCGAAATTATACCACACTGGCATAACTTTACCACTTATTAATAACACAACTTTTATTTTAAGCCCAGAAGAATCTACATATTCCTTTCATGGCATACCTTTTTCGCTATCATCAAATTTTGCTTACCTGCAACCAACGGGCTACCAAAATCATTTAAGTTTGGATTCATCGATGCCAAAAATAAGCGCAGAGTCATCAAAAATTTAAGATGTTTTTTCCGCTATTCAATTCTACGCAGTAAATTTCGTTACTATGAAACTACTTGTTAAAGAGAACCCGTTAATTGATGAAGGATATATAATTAGTTAGTAAAATAATGAAGTTTGTTTCTTAAGTTATATGTAATTTAAGGTAACGTACTCGAGGGTAGTAAGCCGAGGAAAAATAAAATAGAGTTCTGCATCATGTTGCTTTATTTTCTTCTATATTATGTTTTATTTATATTGGTAGATTGTCCGTCGAAAATCCTCCAGCTGAACCCTCCCAGAGGGTGCCGGCTGGGCAATTGGCACTGCATTATCCTGGATCGGGTAATGCTGTAATATACCACCTATGCGGTCGAGCTGGTGGGGGTTGTATCGGGCCCGAAAGCACGTGCTGGTTCCGGCTTCCAAATTCGGTAGAGAAGGGTTGGCTGACATTAAAGGTACAAAACATAGTACACTACCACACATCTCAAAGACGGACAAGTTCACAGTGGCGCATATCTTCGCAGCGGATGTTCTGCTTGCGCTTCGCCCTCCTGACCATGATCATCCAATCCACTTCCAAATTTTGATGATCCCTTACGCCACTACGATCTACCCACACAGCAACATTAATCGACGCATGGCTTCCCATTGAAAACACTAACACATCATAATCATTATTGATTTAATTAACATAAGAACCTAACATTAGGTACCCCACTAAACATTATAAAGACGACGCTAAAAAGTATATCTAACACTTAAATGTAAATGTGTATTAATGTTATGTTAATGTTAAGCGAGCATGGAAAAAATGTAAAAGGCAAACTGTGAATGCTAAATGTTAAATGTTAACCCGCTGTAATGGGCTACAATCGCAAGCTGCTGGATAAGCTGCTTAAGCTATGTGGGAGAGGAAGTGGTAAGGAAAAGATATTATGAGGCAGTGAACGGCATAGGCCGGATATAGGGCATGAGAGGGCTGAAAATTACAATAGGTACCATTTAGTGGCAGTTATATGCCCACTTCATTCCTCTCCAACGTAGAAGCGCTTCGACGTCGGCTGTAACGAATTAAAGCGAATACTTCGAAGAGAGCGCTACCACGCTCTCTCTGCACCTGTTCTCATCCGCACCGATGCAGCGTCTTGCTCTCTCGATTTCGCGATATACTTCCAAGCTACGCTATGCTTAGCTTGGCGGGAGTTGTTGGTAAGGTGGATGAGGGATTGAAGCAATTAGATAGGAGAGGGAATAAAGGAATTAGATGGGAGAGGGAATAGCTGGATCGCTCTACAGCATTGCCTGACGCCTATACTCCTTCCCGCTTTACTTTCCCCTTCCTTTAATGTGAATTATAAGATCGCTTGCGCGGAAGGCGATTAACTAACTACACTAAAGGGCCGTTACGGCGTTCGCCTGCTCTGTTGCGGCTGATGCTATTGTTGATGCGTTCCTCTGTTTTTGGTGCGCAGACGCTGTTGTTGGTCCGTTGCCACTGTTGCTGGTGCGCAGACGCTGTGGTTGGCGCGCTGACGCTGTTGTTGGATGGGAACTACTGCTTTTGCTTCTGCTTAGAAGCGCTGATGCTGTTGCTGGCTGCGAGCTGCAGTGTTTGCTTCTGCAGTGGTACTGAAGCTGGGCAAGCGCGTCTAGCTGAACGCGCGGTTGTTTGCTGGCGCTGCCTGTATGCTGATGGGCTGTTTTATTTTTATATTTCGCTCTTTCGTTTGCTTTCACTGGATTACATTTTTTCGAGCGCGCACTTCTATACCGTCTCAATACTCCTGCCCCTGCCTCATTCTCTCGTTCAAGCCGCGATCGAAACTCCATTCCAGACTCTCTCCGACCCGATCCACTTTGGGGAAATTACCTCCCCTGTCCGTGCCTTTCACTCAAAGGTCCGAGAGAGAAGTCCGCCTTCAGTTTGGACAGCCCATTCCATTCCCTAAACATACTTTTAGGCCGTCCAGACACGCCACACTACAATGCATTGCCGCTTGCTCTGTCCGGGGTAATGCAGTGTCTAGCCAAGGCCAGGTCCAGGTCTTCCCGACGAAAAATTTGGGGGAACTGAACCATGTCCATGGCTGGAGGTGCCTGGCGGTGCTTTCGCTAACCAAGCCAGAAGAAGATAGCCTTCTCCGCTCCGCGGAACCAGGTTCCAGCTCCCTGCGTAGGGAAGGGCCGAAGCGTTCCAAGGAGGGGTTGAAGGCGAAGGCCCAGTACAAAGCGGCCCTCAAGATTATGGGCCGGCTCCAGGTCAGGAACGACCTCTCTGAAGAGGAGAAAGCCAAAATGGCCTGGGCCGAGCAACGGATACAAGCGGGAGGCTGCACTTCGCGCAGATGCCGCAGATGAAGGCATCGACGGAGGGATTTGCCAACAAGGTGGAGGAGAGTCTCGCCACCAAAAGGCAGCGCTCGACCGAGAGTGCCATCAAGGACACTCCGGTGAGCAAGCGGCAACGCGGGCCCAAGGTGGCAGGCCCCTTACCCAAACAGGCGAAGCGACCCCAAAAAGCGAAGGTCAGTGAGGTGACCAAACGACACTTAGTCGTGGCACTCATTGACCGGAGCGACGAGAATGGCAAAATAACGGCGGCGCGGTGGAAGACGGTGCACGCGCGGCTCGTGGATGCGCTGTTCGCTCGAATGGAGGAGGACCCAACGGCCCCCATGCCCACGTTCGATGGTGCAGGGTGGCTGAACGGGGTCAAAATACTCCAATGTATTGACGACCCCACACTCAAGTGGCTGAAGGAATCTGTCTGCCAACTGGAAGCGTTGTGGGAGGGGGCAAGTTGAAAAAATAATTCATGTTCCCAAACCATTTCCTGTTCTTAGAACTGTACCCTATCCAATTGAAATTAAAGTTCCGATTCCAATTGAAAAAAAAGTACCGTTTCCATTCAAGGTTGAGATCGAAAGAAAAGTGCCCATTTATATTCAAACAAAAGAACCATATACATTTGAGAAATCAAGTATTGAACACTATAATCAAGTCGACCAACTCAAATCTAATATTGAAAGGGATTTGGGTACTAACCATCCTCACAATAGGATATATAAATTGAAAGAATTAAACCTTCCTAATAAAATAGAAGACCTTCAATATATTTTTCAAACAGAGAATAATAAACATTTAAGGAAGAGCGGCAGTCATCAATATACGTCTGCAAGCGAAACCGTTCTCCCTAGTAAATCGGATCTTTTAGTGGACATGAACATTGAAGGTGAAGACGACCAGTCGAAATTCAATATAGAAAACGATAATATAGGGTCTAGAGGGCATGAACAATCTGCGCTACCGGCAAAATACCTTCACAATAGGATACATCAATTTAAGGATTAAACATTCCTTATAACAAAGATGACTTTCAAAATACTTTTCAACCAGAGCATAGAAATTTAGATATAACGAAGAGCGCTTTTCAACAAAATACATCTGCCAGCGATAATATTCCCCTAACATTCTTAAGTAACAATTTGAAGCCAGATACGAAAAACTCGAAATTATACCACACTGGCATAACTTTACCACTTATTAATAACACAACTTTTATTTTAAGCCCAGAAGAATCTACATATTCCTTTCATGGCATACCTTTTTCGCTATCATCAAATTTTGCTTACCTGCAACCAACGGGCTACCAAAATCATTTAAGTTTGGATTCATCGATGCCAAAAATAAGCGCAGAGTCATCAAAAATTTAAGATGTTTTTTCCGCTATTCAATTCTACGCAGTAAATTTCGTTACTATGAAACTACTTGTTAAAGAGAACCCGTTAATTGATGAAGGATATATAATTAGTTAGTAAAATAATGAAGTTTGTTTCTTAAGTTATATGTAATTTAAGGTAACGTACTCGAGGGTAGTAAGCCGAGAGAAAATAAAATAGAGTTCTGCATCATGTTGCTTTATTTTCTTCTATATTATGTTTTATTTATATTGGTAGATTGTCCGTCGAAAATCCTCCAGCTGAACCCTCCCAGAGGGTGCCGGCTGGGCAATTGGCACTGCATTATCCTGGATCGGGTAATGCTGTAATATACCACCTATGCGGTCGAGCTGGTGGGGGTTGTATCGGGCCCGAAAGCACGTGCTGGTTCCGGCTTCCAAATTCGGTAGAGAAGGGTTGGCTGACATTAAAGGTACAAAACATAGTACACTACCACACATCTCAAAGACGGACAAGTTCACAGTGGCGCATATCTTCGCAGCGGATGTTCTGCTTGCGCTTCGCCCTCCTGACCATGATCATCCAATCCACTTCCAAATTTTGATGATCCCTTACGCCACTACGATCTACCCACACAGCAACATTAATCGACGCATGGCTTCCCATTGAAAACACTAACACATCATAATCATTATTGATTTAATTAACATAAGAACCTAACATTAGGTACCCCACTAAACATTATAAAGACGACGCTAAAAAGTATATCTAACACTTAAATGTAAATGTGTATTAATGTTATGTTAATGTTAAGCGAGCATGGAAAAAATGTAAAAGGCAAACTGTGAATGCTAAATGTTAAATGTTAACCCGCTGTAATGGGCTACAATCGCAAGCTGCTGGATAAGCTGCTTAAGCTATGTGGGAGAGGAAGTGGTAAGGAAAAGATATTATGAGGCAGTGAACGGCATAGGCCGGATATAGGGCATGAGAGGGCTGAAAATTACAATAGGTACCATTTAGTGGCAGTTATATGCCCACTTCATTCCTCTCCAACGTAGAAGCGCTTCGACGTCGGCTGTAACGAATTAAAGCGAATACTTCGAAGAGAGCGCTACCACGCTCTCTCTGCACCTGTTCTCATCCGCACCGATGCAGCGTCTTGCTCTCTCGATTTCGCGATATACTTCCAAGCTACGCTATGCTTAGCTTGGCGGGAGTTGTTGGTAAGGTGGATGAGGGATTGAAGCAATTAGATAGGAGAGGGAATAAAGGAATTAGATGGGAGAGGGAATAGCTGGATCGCTCTACAGCATTGCCTGACGCCTATACTCCTTCCCGCTTTACTTTCCCCTTCCTTTAATGTGAATTATAAGATCGCTTGCGCGGAAGGCGATTAACTAACTACACTAAAGGGCCGTTACGGCGTTCGCCTGCTCTGTTGCGGCTGATGCTATTGTTGATGCGTTCCTCTGTTTTTGGTGCGCAGACGCTGTTGTTGGTCCGTTGCCACTGTTGCTGGTGCGCAGACGCTGTGGTTGGCGCGCTGACGCTGTTGTTGGATGGGAACTACTGCTTTTGCTTCTGCTTAGAAGCGCTGATGCTGTTGCTGGCTGCGAGCTGCAGTGTTTGCTTCTGCAGTGGTACTGAAGCTGGGCAAGCGCGTCTAGCTGAACGCGCGGTTGTTTGCTGGCGCTGCCTGTATGCTGATGGGCTGTTTTATTTTTATATTTCGCTCTTTCGTTTGCTTTCACTGGATTACATTTTTTCGAGCGCGCACTTCTATACCGTCTCAATACTCCTGCCCCTGCCTCATTCTCTCGTTCAAGCCGCGATCGAAACTCCATTCCAGACTCTCTTCGACCCGATCCACTTTGGGGAAATTACCTCCCCTGTCCGTGCCTTTCACTCAAAGGTCCGAGAGAGAAGTCCGCCTTCAGTTTGGACAGCCCATCCCATTCCCTAAACATACTTTTAGGCCGTCCAGACACGCCACACTACAATGCATTGCCGCTTGCTCTGTCCGGGGTAATGCAGTGTCTAGCCAAGGCCAGGTCCAGGTCTTCCCGACGAAAAATTTGGGGGAACTGAACCATGTCCATGGCTGGAGGTGCCTGGCGGGTAGGCATAAAACGCTAGGGGTGGTCCCCCCGAAAAATATTAACCAGCATGGACCCTCTGGGCCAACAATGGAGCGGAAGAAGGAGCAAGCAAGGGTTGGGATGTCAACCCAAACGTCGGTGGAAAGCGTGGCTGCCACCACCGGCGGGCACGGGGAGGAGCAATCCTCTCTGCGTGTTGCCAGCGGCCACACCTCTGATAGGGCGGGAGCAGGTCATATCAGTTGCAATGCTACTGCCACAAAAAAGACTGACTCCAAGTTGAGCCGCACAGGTGCCGTGGTAGACACAGACTGGGACCTGGAGAGCGTGCTTTCGCTAACCAAGCCAGAAGAAGATAGCCTTCTCCGCTCCGCGGAACCAGGTTCCAGCTCCCTGCGTAGGGAAGGGCCGAAGCGTTCCAAGGAGGGGTTGAAGGCGAAGGCCCAGTACAAAGCGGCCCTCAAGATTATGGGCCGGCTCCAGGTCAGGAACGACCTCTCTGAAGAGGAGAAAGCCAAAATGGCCTGGGCCGAGCAACGGATACAAGCGGGAGGCTGCACTTCGCGCAGATGCCGCAGATGAAGGCATCGACGGAGGGATTTGCCAACAAGGTGGAGGAGAGTCTCGCCACCAAAAGGCAGCGCTCGACCGAGAGTGCCATCAAGGACATTCCGGTGAGCAAGCGGCAACGCGGGCCCAAGGTGGCAGGCCCCTTACCCAAACAGGCGAAGCGACCCCAAAAAGCGAAGGTCAGTGAGGTGACCAAACGACACTTAGTCGTGGCACTCATTGACCGGAGCGACGAGAATGGCAAAATAACGGCGGCGCGGTGGAAGACGGTGCACGCGCGGCTCGTGGATGCGCTGTTCGCTCGAATGGAGGAGGACCCAACGGCCCCCATGCCCACGTTCGATGGTGCAGGGTGGCTGAACGGGGTCAAAATACTCCAATGTATTGACGACCCCACACTCAAGTGGCTGAAGGAATCTGTCTGCCAACTGGAAGCGTTGTGGGAGGGGGCAAGTTGAAAAAATAATTCATGTTCCCAAACCATTTCCTGTTCTTAGAACTGTACCCTATCCAATTGAAATTAAAGTTCCGATTCCAATTGAAAAAAAAAGTACCGTTTCCATTCAAGGTTGAGATCGAAAGAAAAGTGCCCATTTATATTCAAACAAAAGAACCATATACATTTGAGAAATCAAGTATTGAACACTATAATCAAGTCGACCAACTCAAATCTAATATTGAAAGGGATTTGGGTACTAACCATCCTCACAATAGGATATATAAATTGAAAGAATTAAACCTTCCTAATAAAATAGAAGACCTTCAATATATTTTTCAAACAGAGAATAATAAACATTTAAGGAAGAGCGGCAGTCATCAATATACGTCTGCAAGCGAAACCGTTCTCCCTAGTAAATCGGATCTTTTAGTGGACATGAACATTGAAGGTGAAGACGACCAGTCGAAATTCAATATAGAAAACGATAATATAGGGTCTAGAGGCCATGAACAATCTGCGCTACCGGCAAAATACCTTCACAATAGGATACATCAATTTAAGGATTAAACATTCCTTATAACAAAGATGACTTTCAAAATACTTTTCAACCAGAGCATAGAAATTTAGATATAACGAAGAGCGCTTTTCAACAAAATACATCTGCCAGCGATAATATTCCCCTAACATTCTTAAGTAACAATTTGAAGCCAGATACGAAAAACTCGAAATTATACCACACTGGCATAACTTTACCACTTATTAATAACACAACTTTTATTTTAAGCCCAGAAGAATCTACATATTCCTTTCATGGCATACCTTTTTCGCTATCATCAAATTTTGCTTACCTGCAACCAACGGGCTACCAAAATCATTTAAGTTTGGATTCATCGATGCCAAAAATAAGCGCAGAGTCATCAAAAATTTAAGATGTTTTTTCCGCTATTCAATTCTACGCAGTAAATTTCGTTACTATGAAACTACTTGTTAAAGAGAACCCGTTAATTGATGAAGGATATATAATTAGTTAGTAAAATAATGAAGTTTGTTTCTTAAGTTATATGTAATTTAAGGTAACGTACTCGAGGGTAGTAAGCCGAGAGAAAAAATAAAATAGAGTTCTGCATCATGTTGCTTTATTTTCTTCTATATTATGTTTTATTTATATTGGTAGATTGTCCGTCGGAAATCCTCCAGCTGAACCCTCCCAGAGGGTGCCGGCTGGGCAATTGGCACTGCATTATCCTGGATCGGGTAATGCTGTAATATACCACCTATGCGGTCGAGCTGGTGGGGGTTGTATCGGGCCCGAAAGCACGTGCTGGTTCCGGCTTCCAAATTCGGTAGAGAAGGGTTGGCTGACATTAAAGGTACAAAACATAGTACACTACCACACATCTCAAAGACGGACAAGTTCACAGTGGCGCATATCTTCGCAGCGGATGTTCTGCTTGCGCTTCGCCCTCCTGACCATGATCATCCAATCCACTTCCAAATTTTGATGATCCCTTACGCCACTACGATCTACCCACACAGCAACATTAATCGACGCATGGCTTCCCATTGAAAACACTAACACATCATAATCATTATTGATTTAATTAACATAAGAACCTAACATTAGGTACCCCACTAAACATTATAAAGACGACGCTAAAAAGTATATCTAACACTTAAATGTAAATGTGTATTAATGTTATGTTAATGTTAAGCGAGCATGGAAAAAATGTAAAAGGCAAACTGTGAATGCTAAATGTTAAATGTTAACCCGCTGTAATGGGCTACAATCGCAAGCTGCTGGATAAGCTGCTTAAGCTATGTGGGAGAGGAAGTGGTAAGGAAAAGATATTATGAGGCAGTGAACGGCATAGGCCGGATATAGGGCATGAGAGGGCTGAAAATTACAATAGGTACCATTTAGTGGCAGTTATATGCCCACTTCATTCCTCTCCAACGTAGAAGCGCTTCGACGTCGGCTGTAACGAATTAAAGCGAATACTTCGAAGAGAGCGCTACCACGCTCTCTCTGCACCTGTTCTCATCCGCACCGATGCAGCGTCTTGCTCTCTCGATTTCGCGATATACTTCCAAGCTACGCTATGCTTAGCTTGGCGGGAGTTGTTGGTAAGGTGGATGAGGGATTGAAGCAATTAGATAGGAGAGGGAATAAAGGAATTAGATGGGAGAGGGAATAGCTGGATCGCTCTACAGCATTGCCTGACGCCTATACTCCTTCCCGCTTTACTTTCCCCTTCCTTTAATGTGAATTATAAGATCGCTTGCGCGGAAGGCGATTAACTAACTACACTACACTAAAGGGCCGTTACGGCGTTCGCCTGCTCTGTTGCGGCTGATGCTATTGTTGATGCGTTCCTCTGTTTTTGGTGCGCAGACGCTGTTGTTGGTCCGTTGCCACTGTTGCTGGTGCGCAGACGCTGTGGTTGGCGCGCTGACGCTGTTGTTGGATGGGAACTACTGCTTTTGCTTCTGCTTAGAAGCGCTGATGCTGTTGCTGGCTGCGAGCTGCAGTGTTTGCTTCTGCAGTGGTACTGAAGCTGGGCAAGCGCGTCTAGCTGAACGCGCGGTTGTTTGCTGGCGCTGCCTGTATGCTGATGAGCTGTTTTATTTTTATATTTCGCTCTTTCGTTTGCTTTCACTGGATTACATTTTTTCGAGCGCGCACTTCTATACTGTCTCAATACTCCTGCCCCTGCCTCATTCTCTCGTTCAAGCCGCGATCGAAACTCCATTCCAGACTCTCTCCGACCCGGTCCACTTTGGGGAAATTACCTCCCCTGTCCGTGCCTTTCACTCAAAGGTCCGAGAGAGAAGTCCGCCTTCAGTTTGGACAGCCCATCCCATTCCCTAAACATACTTTTAGGCCGTCCAGACACGCCACACTACAATGCATTGCCGCTTGCTCTGTCCGGGGTAATGCAGTGTCTAGCCAAGGCCAGGTCCAGGTCTTCCCGACGAAAAATTTGGGGGAACTGAACCATGTCCATGGCTGGAGGTGCCTGGCGGGTAGGCATAAAACGCTAGGGGTGGTCCCCCCGAAAAATATTAACCAGCATGGACCCTCTGGGCCAACAATGGAGCGGAAGAAGGAGCAAGCAAGGGTTGGGATGTCAACCCAAACGTCGGTGGAAAGCGTGGCTGCCGTCTCTGCGTGTTGCCAGCGGCCACACCTCTGATAGGGCGGGAGCAGGTCATATCAGTTGCAATGCTACTGCCACAAAAAAGACTGACTCCAAGTTGAGCCGCACAGGTGCCGTGGTAGACACAGACTGGGACCTGGAGAGCGTGCTTTCGCTAACCAAGCCGGAAGAAGATAGCCTTCTCCGCTCCGCGGAACCAGGTTCCAGCTCCCTGCGTAGGGAAGGGCCGAAGCGTTCCAAGGAGGGGTTGAAGGCGAAGGCCCAGTACAAAGCGGCCCTCAAGATTATGGGCCGGCTCCAGGTCAGGAACGACCTCTCTGAAGAGGAGAAAGCCAAAATGGCCTGGGCCGAGCAACGGATACAAGCGGGAGGCTGCACTTCGCGCAGATGCCGCAGATGAAGGCATCGACGGAGGGATTTGCCAACAAGGTGGAGGAGAGTCTCGCCACCAAAAGGCAGCGCTCGACCGAGAGTGCCATCAAGGACACTCCGGTGAGCAAGCGGCAACGCGGGCCCAAGGTGGCAGGCCCCTTACCCAAACAGGCGAAGCGACCCCAAAAAGCGAAGGTCAGTGAGGTGACCAAACGACACTTAGTCGTGGCACTCATTGACCGGAGCGACGAGAATGGCAAAATAACGGCGGCGCGGTGGAAGACGGTGCACGCGCGGCTCGTGGATGCGCTGTTCGCTCGAATGGAGGAGGACCCAACGGCCCCCATGCCCACGTTCGATGGTGCAGGGTGGCTGAACGGGGTCAAAATACTCAAATGTATTGACGACCCCACACTCAAGTGGCTGAAGGAAACTGTCTGCCAACTGGAAGCGTTGTGGGAGGGGGCAAAGCTGGAGGTGGTGGACAGGGAGCTAATCCCATCCATACCAAAGGCAAAGGTACTCTTCCCCATCTTTATCCAAGGGGACCGTGCGCTGAAGCTGCTACAGCGGCAGAGCCCTGATGTGCCAACGGCGAACTGGAGGAGTTTGGATATCGGGAGCCCACTACCCAATGAGGGGGGCCAGAGTGCGATCATCCAGATCAGCAAGGAGGCAGAGGACCTGCTGTACCCAAGATTCGGGAAGATGGCGTGGGGGATGGGCAGTGTGTACCAGCGGCTGAAAAAGCCCCTCCCCGAGGACAATGATGCGCACACTCTGCAGGCGGGCGAGGTGGAGAAGGACCTTGGTCTGGACACCATCGTGGAGGCCGCACAGGGTCTTGCGCTGGACTCGGAGGAGGAGGGGGAGGACGGTGACCTGACGGTAGTAGTCAACCCGTCGAGCGGAGCTGAGCCAGACGCACATGCTGAGTGTGGTGCAGCTCAACCTCCAGAAGAGTAAAATTGCGTCGGCGGAGCTCCTCTTTGCCATGGAGCAAGGGCCCGCCGATATAGCCTTAGTACAGGAGCCATGGGTTGCATCAGGCAATGCTGTGGCCGGACTAAAGTCCTCAAATTTTAACGTTTTCTATCCACCATCGGTAAGCAGGAACAGAATCGCCGTACTCGTACGAAAGGGAATCCATGCTCACCTTATGTCTCATTACAGCACTGACGATCTGACCGTGGTGATGCTAGAAAGTAAGGCAAAGCGCCTGATGGTAGCTTCCTGCTACATGGCACACGACAGGCCAGCTTCACCTGAAGAGTTGAGGCATCTAGTGGCGGAAGCCAGCCCGAAAGACCAGCAACTTCCTGTCGGTACGGAAGCAAACGCACATCACAACGTGTGGGGAAGCTCCGACATCAACGATAGAGGTGAGTCACTCCTAGACTTCATACTATCAACTCACCTAGAAGTAGCAAACGTAGGAGAGGAATACACCTTCGTAGGTCCCACCTCTTCTAACGTACTAGATCTAACCCTCGTAACGGGAACGAGTACTTTGGTATCTGGCTGGAGAATCCTTAAAAGACCCCTCAGACCACAAGTCCATTTAGTTTAAGTGCGATTTCGAACACTTTTTGAAGATAACTATAGAACTATAGTCTATAGAAACTCCCGGAACACAAAATGGGAAAAGTTTATATAGGCAGTTACCTCGAAGTTGGTGACGCGTCTGGGCACAGTGAAATCCCCGGAAGACATAGAAACGTCCCTAGTGACCCTATCCAAGGAATTACTGGATGCGTACCACGCATCGTGCCCACCCTCGAGAACGAAAAAGCGGACCAAACCACTCTGGTGGAACCGGGACCTATCGCTCCAAAGAAACAACCTCAAAGAATTCTTCAAAATCGCCAAACAGGCGAGCGATGAGATGATCAATGAGGAATATAAAATCCTACTCAGGGAGTACAAGAAGGAAATACGAAGGGCACAAAGAAACTCGTGGAGGAACTTCTGCTCCAACATCGAGAAAGTCCCAGAAACAGCTAGACTCCGGAAGCTGCTATCAAAGCAACCTACCATACAGAATCAGATCAAACGAAACGATGGACAGTGGACTGAGGGCAGTGAAGAAGCCCTAACAGCACTAATGGAAGCTCACTTCGTTGGCAGAAATTTCTGCAGAAGCGGTTATTGTTGATTTAGCTACAATGCCTTGTCGTTTGTTATTATGTCTCCCGTTACATGGGTCGACCTGACTTATTCGATAAGTGTATATTATGTAATATTAATTAATGCATAAATAAGCGACTGAACATTCTCCCGGCCGTTGAACTGGTGTTCAACCATCGCCCAAGTCGACTGAAAAGCGGCGTGGAATGGGGATCGGGGGTGATGATCCGCGTGGCTCTGCTTGGTTGATTGTTGACGGCCTTGGGTTCCACGATTGATACTTCTTCCGGAGAATGAACGCAATAATCAATAGCATTGATATTGCTAGGGCA